TATCTATCTATCTATCTATCTATCTATCTATCTATCTATCTATCTATCTATCTATCTATCTATCTATCTATCTATCTATCTATCATCTACAAACTGCATGATGGCTTTGTGCAATGTTGAAACTGAGTTTTGGCCAGGCAATTTCTTGTTTGTTTCCTCCAAAATGCAAACGCAACTAAAAGGATAAGAGCGGCAGGAAGGGGCGTATCCTTACCCATTTTCCAGAAGCCTCTTCCTCATCATCTGCTGGTTGAGGAGCTTTTGATGCTCTTCATAGCACATCAGCAGGCTGGGAGAACAGAAGGGAGAGGGGTGAATTTGGGGCACGGAAGGTCGTTCGATCGGGATCATCAGGGGCTGAAGAGAAGGTGCTTAGTGCTTACTTTCCCCCACCTCCCCGCCAATTACCTGTTTATGCTTGACCCAAAATCTTCCAGAAACTCCACCCTCCGCTGGGAGAAGATGATCTTGGTCTCCAGGGGCAGACCGCTGGTCAAGGCTCTGTCGAAACTGCTCATGGTGTTGCCTTCGTTTTGCCGGACATCGGCACTGAATTCCATCTCCAAGAGGTTCGCATAGAGCTTGGCGTTGTCCTGCACCCGGCCGTGGCAAAGAGGAAGAGAAAATTCAGAAGAGCAAAGGGCAGATCTAAGTAATTGTCCAAGTCAGGATTTGTCAACTCAGCAACTGGGAGATTGGTAGACTTCAACACCCAGAATCCCCCAACTAGTATGCTTTGAGAAGCGTGGGCTTCAAATCCCAGATTTCCCCAGCCAGCCTGGTTTAAGAGGGGTGGACTTCAGCTCCCATAATTCCTCAGCAGGATGCTTTAAGGGGGGTGGACTTCAGCTCCCATAATTCCCCAGCCAGTATGCTTTAAGATGGTCGGGCTTCCCCAGCCCATGCTGGTAGGAGAATTCTGGGAGTTGAAGTCCACCCAACTTAAAGTTGCAGAGATTGAGAAAAATGGCCAATTGTTTTTATGTTTCATAAATCTATGTTGAATCTTTAGATCAAGCAGATTGTTTTAAGTGAATCGGGTTTTGAGTCATCATAAGGACAAAATGTTACTTAGCTGTCTCCCCAAAAAATACAGGTGTATGAATGAAACCCCAACAGGAGGCAACTCCTGTCCTCCATCCTGCTTCCTTTTGGCAACTCACACAATGACCAGCAGCCCTTGACCTACGACCACAATTGAACCCAAAGTCTCTCTTGCTAAGCGAGACAGTTTTTTAAGTGAGTTTTACCCCATTTCACGTCCTTTCTTGCCAAAGATGCTAAGTGAATCATTGCAGTTGTTAAGTGAGGAGCACGGTTGTTAATTGGAACTGGTTTCCCCACTGACTCTGCTTTTCAGAAGGTGGCAAAAAGGGGTCATGTGACCCCCGGACACTGAAACCGTCATAACTATATGTCAGCTGAGAAAGATCTGAACTTTGAGCATGTGACCACAGTGGTCGTTAAGTGTCAAAAACAGTCCTAAGTTGCTTCTTTCAGTGCCGTTGTAACTTTGAATGGTCACTAAACAAATTGTTATAAGTCCAGGACTACCTATAATTATTATATTTTTTACTTTAGATGCTTTCAACCTACAGAAAGTCAAAGAAACTAAGAGGAAAAGAAAAAATATAGCAGTCAACAATCTAGTTTTTAAAAGGCAAAGGTTCCCCTTGCACGTATGTGCTAGCCGTTCCCGACTCAAGGGGGCAGTGCTCATGTCCGTTTCAAAGCTGAAGAGCCAGCACTGTCTGAAGACGTCTCTGTGGTCATGTGGCTGGCATGACTCAACGCTGTTCCCTTCCCACCAAAGGTGGCTCCTATTTTGCCACTTGCATTTCTTACGTCCTTTCGAACTGCTAGTTTGGCAGACGCTGGGACAACTAACAGGCGCTCACTCTGTTACACAGCGCTAGGGATTCGAACTGCCGAAGTTTCTGATTGACAAGCTCAGCGTCTTAGCCATTGAATCCCTGTAGGTTCTTTTTAAACACCTAAAATCGTAATAATTAACCATTGCAGACAACTGAGCTGAAAAAAATCATAAACATGAATCAGTTTCCAAGTGCCTGGAAGTTGATCAAATGATATGTGTGGACGTTGCAACAGTCACAACTGTGAAAAACGGACTTAAGTCACTTCGAATGGTCACTAAACGAACTGTTGTAAGTCCAGGACAACCTGTAATTTATTTATTTTTTTACTTCAGACTCTTTCTTTCAACCTACAGAAATTGGAACGGTCCCTAGACAAAGGGACGTAACTCGAGGACTGCCTGCACACGACCCTAAAAAGAAGCTCGGTTGTTTTGTTTACCGGGTCCTTCTCCAAGGCTTCCAGGAGAATCTTCCGGGCTTTGGCCAAGTTCTTCTGCACTTTGAGGACCTGCCGAGCCAGCTTGACGGAGTAGAAGGAGGAGATGGGCATCCCCTCGTTGTCCCGTATGGCTTCCATCAGCAGGGCCTCTGCAATGTCCATGTTCCCCAGCCGACGTTCCAGGCTCACCCGCCGCAAACGCACCATGACCAAGCCGGGCACGTAGTCCTCGAAGGTCTTCAAGATACGCCGGGCTTCCTCCACCTCTCCTGCGGGAAGACAACACAGGGACATCTTCAGGATGGGCAGTTCTCGACTTACGAACAATGGGACACAACATTTCTGTTGTTAAGCGAGACATTTTTAAGCAAGCTTTGCCTCCGTTTTGCGACCGCCCTTGCCACAGCTGTTAAGTGAATCCCTGCGGTTGTTAAGTTAGTCACACTGTCAGGCCTGCAGCCATCTTTTCTTTTGGGTCTCTGGCCTGCCACACTTTCTATTATTCTACTATGCATTTTCTATGGTGGGAAAACGGGAAGAGGGATTGTACGGGGTTAGATGCTAAGTAGCCATAACAACATTCTTTCTAGAAAGCCAAGGTCATCCTTTGTCTCTGCACCTGACCGGATCTGGATGGGTGGAAGCTGCCAGCATGGCAGTGGGAGATGAGACCATGGGATGGGCTTGTGGGTGTGGGGGGGCGAGATCTTGAACTTTCAACTGGGTGGGGAAAACCTGGAAGCTTTCAGATTCGGGTTTCCCCAGATGTGCCAACATGG